GATATTTTTTACGTGCTGACTAAGCATTGCTTACTAAGCTAGATAGAAACTACTAGATCTTAGCTTTTTAAATTACTAATTATTATATATTTAGCTATATTATCAGCCGAGATACAATAGTTTCAAAATATCAACTTTTTTTAGTTCTTTTTTTTTTTTGCACCCCACTGTAGAATCCGAGAGCGGTTGAGAGAGACTTGATTAGAGAGGTTATCAGAAGGGCTTGGGCTGGGGAGGATGCGAAGAAGGATCTATAGAGCCATATAACATGTTTCTGCAAGGAATAGTCTCTCTGAATAGTCGGTTATAGTGATGTTCGTCCTCGTCTCCCTATACGTTCGAGCTTGCAGCGTTTTGAATCGAGAACGACTCCATGCAGTCTGAGCCAATAAGTTTATCTTGGCAGTATGAACAAGTAGGAATTGAGATTCATACCGCCGATAACAACAAAGTATGGGTGGTTGTATGGGTATGAATTCAAGCCCTTCCATTGCTCCACTCTTTCCCCGGCATTAGTGCGTGGGGCAAAGCACCCGACCGCTTAAGTCATGTTCCGATGCAGCTCGACATGAGAGAAGTTTTACAAAGAGGTTGATTCCAGAACGTCTCACAAGTGATACATGATACTTATATCGTCACTAAGTATGGATGCAGACAACACCGAAGCAAAAGCGCTACACCTCGTGGGAATTAGCGTCAAACACTCTATCGCCCCACCGATGCACAACATGATTGCGAAATCGCTTGGACTTCCGTGGACATTCTACAGTACCGAGTGCAGCACTGTCGAAGAAGTTGCAGCACTCGCACGAAAGCCGTCCACTGCTGGTCTTGTTGTGACCATGCCATACAAAAACACTGTAATGCCACTTCTCGATGAATTAGACGACATCGCGACGACCATCGGAGCTTGCAACAACACTTACCGCCGAGACGATAAAATTGTCGGGACGAATACAGACTGGCGCGGTATCAAGGGATGTTTGCTTGAGAAAGGAGAGGAGAGCTCTCGGCCAAGTCCTAGCCGCACAGCGCCAGCTTTGATTGTTGGTGCCGGAGGCGCTAGCCGCGCCGCAGCGTATGCCCTCAGCAGTCATCTCAGTTGTCCCACGATATACGTGTTGAATCGCGATGATGCCGAGGTAGAAGCACTCGTGGCCGATACGCAGAAAGTGATCCCCACTCCCAAGGTCATCCACGTCAAGTCCTTGGAGCAAGCTTCAAGCCTGGATACGCCGTACTATGTTGTCGGCACAGTCCCAGACTTTGAACCACAAACGGATGCCGAAAAAAATGTCGCAGCCATCCTGAAGAATTTTATCTCACGCAACACGAAGGGCGTTTTACTGGATATGTGCTTCAAACCTCGACGTACCAGAATGATTAAGCTTGCGGAAGAACTAGGGTGGCCGACTGTAGAGGGGACTCACGTCATTGGGTATCAGATCCAAGAGCAATGGAGGCTATGGGCTGGAGAGGAGCGAGCTTCTCGTGTTAATGAAGATGCAGCTTGGAAAACTCTTCTGGATGCAGCAGAAGAAAGCAAGGCTATAAATTTCTAAGTAGACTGACAGAACATATGAGATCGCATTGGCACAATACTTCGATTCAGCAAACGCTGCAGGAGCTAACACCGCTTGCGTTGTGCTCATAGTCATCGAAAGGGTCCATTTCGTAGAGTAGGACTTATTCTAGTTTCCCCTTATTCTCCACCTCTTACCTTCTTTTCTATCTATGCCCATTCTTCAAGCCTGAGGTAGAATAGAGATATGACATGTCTAAATCTATACAGACTTGGTAGTTCGGCCCGTCATGACCAGTTTCATCCCTCAAAGTACGACTTACCAGAGTCGTGCAGGATCGTTCAATCTACCCTCCACTTGCATCAGTTCTATAAGGTATGATTGGAACCTGTTTGTACTCTTGAAGATGGTGCATAAGCCGCCTGACTAATCACGAATCGTGGTAGGAGGTTGTGGGCGTTCCGGGGAGGACCATATCCGATAGCCATTACTCAATCCGGTAGTAAATTTAACCGGTTCCCCGCACGTTGTGTGGTATGTCGGACGAGTCCTATAAAATGGAAGATAATAAATTGGTGGGCTTTTGAAGAACAGTACTGTCCACCTGCATCATTCCGAACTTTGATCAGGGATTGACCCGTGTCGGACGCTTAAGATGCCTGATTTGCATTCGCTCCCTGACGATTGGTGGCCCTCGAAAGCCATCCGCAACAATGGCCCAGATGCCCTTGTCTTGGAAAGAGCAAAGCTTCGTGAGCTTGCAGAGGGTTGGCCTTGCTACCGGTATGTTTTTGTTCCACAATGCCCCTTGACGTGAACCCATTCAACATCGAAACTTACGACAAAATCATACAGTGACGCGTGCGAGTGGGAGAACTTCAAGTCGATCTTCCATGAAGGCGCCTATGTGTATACCACGTGGTCTGGTCGCGTTCTGTTTTCCGATTTTATTAACGGATCGAAGGCTGGTATGGACAAGGGCGCGTTCATCATGCATCGCTGCCATGGAACAACATCAGATATCAGCCCTGATGGAAAACGAGCGGTCACAAAGATGAAAGCAACCATCACGCAGAGATTTGACCTAGATGGTGTAGAAGTGGACGCTGAGGCCGATTGCCGATTCTGCTTCTTCTTCGAAAAGGTAGATGGTCACTGGGGCGCACGGTTCGTGCGACATTGGTATGAGAAGGATAAGCTCATTCTCGTGGTTGCTGGCCAAGTACCTAAATTGGACATGGAAAAACTCCATTCATACCCTGATGGATATAAATGCCTCGCCTATTGCCAGGAAGCAACGATGGGAGTAACGGTTTTGAAGGATATGCCAGGGCATCGGCTGCACGCAGGCACGCCCGCTGGCGACAAACATGACCTGCTCTATAGGCAATCGAAAATTTGGGTAGAGGGTGGAGATATCGATATATGATACACTTTGTCATCAGTTTAAGCAAAATGATGAGTGTCCTATGAATCACGATTTCATTGCGCAGCTAGCAATAACCCTGTAACAATCCTCAAAATATTCATTATCTTGTCAAGCAGAATATCGCTAGTTTAAAAAGATTTTATGAGCTGGTAGAAATTTCAAAAAACACCTATAATAAACTGTTATCATTTACTGTTTAGCGGAGAGCAGAGTAGTGGTATCAGTGAGGTCACGCAGACATAAAAGAAGGCGTGCAGCAGTTAGTGACAAGACTGATATTGGACGAAGAACTTGTTGCTACTTCAAATTGAGCCTATCGATAAGTTTCGCCCAAGACGCCATTCCTCGCCGTGCATGTTCCGCTGGCACATGCTCTCCTTGCTCTGACATCGTTCTCGAAAACAGTTCCATAGAAATAAAACCTTTATAACCCATGTCGTGGATAATCGCCCGTGCGATATCCTCTACAGGAAGGTACGCCCCTCGATCATCTTCGTACGCAAAAGCCCTGGCATTTCGTGACCAACTCATTCGTGGTGGCTGGCCAGAGGTATGAAACGGGTGACCTTCAACCAGTGGCGAAGTCATCCGTTCTGCATCTACCACCTGAATGTAAAACACCTTGTCCAGGTTTACCTGTTGTATCATTTGATGGATAGACCTCTTCAACTCTTCATCTGCATTGGGTGTCTTGCCTTCCAATGACGTGGGATCTGCCCAAACTCGCCCTGCGATGTTGAACGTGTCTAGGCACAGGCCAAGATTCGGACGATCCACCTGTTTGACAACTTCCCAGGCTTTTTCCCAGGTGTCAATGTGCGTACTCCAACAAAGATTCTCGTACGCGAAACGAACATGGGGATGTTCCTGTAGACCCAAGTCTGCCAACTCTCGCAGATCACTGACAATGACATCCATATCTCCAGTAAGCTGATCCATGGGTAAGAAGTTGGCCGGGATCTGTATTGTTCCAGTCTTCAGCTCTTTGACAATGCGGAACCACACGTGGATCTTTTCAATAAGCTCATTATGCTTCTGGCGATCTAGCAAGCCCTCGTAGAAAAGGAAGGGCTGCAATCCAATTATTTCAAGCCCTGCTACCTGACACTCCTTATGAACCTGGCGAGCAGCCTTACAGAGATCTTCGGAAGTAGGACTTTCGTGGTTGGAGAGCTTCTTCGCCATATATTCAAGGTCCTCATAGAAAATCTCAATTCCTTTGAATCCTTGCTGTCCTGCCTCCTTGACCTTGGTGTCAAAATCGTGAAGCCATGCCCGCCCCAGCGAGGCGGACAATATTGCAGGCTGGAATGTTGCCATAGGGTTTCACCACAGAAATGAGGGATAGTTTGGAAAGCTAGATTACAAGATTGGCTACCGATGACCTAGATCGATGTGGAAAGTTCAACTTGTCGTGCATTTGGTTGCGGCGGAGTTGCAATTCTAATAGGGCCGAACTTCAAAGTACCCCGCCGAGGCTAAGTCGGTAGCTGACGCCCTATGGAAAAGGTAATACCCTAGCGCGTCTTGGTACGCCCTTGTCCCGGGCGATTTTCTGCCTGGTCGGCTCTACTCCTAGCCGCCTAACAGCTGTTGCAAAATGCAATGATTCTAGATCGAAGAATGCACCGCCCGATCTGTTCATTTCTCCCTGCTGCAGCTCAGGGTCAAACACGAGACCTTGAACTTTATCCCTTCGAGTCTGATGCCACTGAGCATTCTATGCGTGCACACTAAAGATATTCATTGGTGAACAAGTACAGTACATTTCATACACTTTAATCTCGAGGAGAGAACAACGGTGTCCGGGAATTACGACAGAGATTTTCTATATAGAATGCTTCTGAACTTCTATGCTAATGACACGTTTCGCCTCTGCATCTGGTACATCTTCTAGTTGCTTCTCCAGCCACAGGACTTGCTACGCGATGCCCTGGTGGACCATTGCTTCCACTCCAGGTACAACCTTCCAGCCACTTCTCACCGCCAATCTGAAGAATTCAGTGTTTGGATTAGGATGGTAACACATTTCCAACACGAAACCTTTCGGTCCTAGGCCCAAGATAGCCTCCACAGTGTCTCTTGCAAGAATCTCGCTGGGCTGTGTTGGGGGGATATCTGGCACAGTACCAACAATCACGGCTGGTGTCTCCAGACCCTAAACTTGCTCCACCGATGAGATATGTATCAATTTGCACTCTGGCAGGGTGCTTTTGAACGACTACATGATGGCATCCACCTCGGATTTGAGACGATTTACAAGATAGATTTTCGACGCCTTGAGCGATTTCTACAGAGCATATATTGCGCTTCTGCAAGCGCCCCCACCGCCAATGACTAGGGCGGGTTTGCCAGTGCTCTGCAACGCGATGCCTGGGAAGTTCTGTAGGAATGCCTCCCTGATTCCTATCGTGTCCGTGTTTGTACCACGTACAACTTCTCGTTGGATTTGGAGTCTTTTCGAATAGATATCGTATTGATTGCACCAATTGCAAGTGCCTCGTCCGTCACGCGATCGCATTCTGTCATGAAAGACACTTTGTGTGACATGGTTATTGCCGAGCCTATGCAGTCTGATGCCTTTATTTTCGGTAAAAAAGTTTGACTTATCGAGCGACTCCACGAGATTATAGGACCAGGGAACATTCTGCTCGTTGAAAAGCGTGGAGTGCAAGAGCGGCGCTAGTGAATGGGCGATCGGATAACCAAAGAGGTATGTCTTCAGCGGTTTGTCGCGGTCGCCATCAGAAATGATTGATGTCCAAAAGCATATGAGCTTTGCAAAGTATCTGCGTTGAATTTCATGGTGTGCTCGATCGGGGTTAGGCCCCACAAGTTGTGAATTGAATGGAGTAGCAATAAAGCCACAGCGTGGGCGCTTTGTCAGGGCATACCGCATGCAAAATGTCTCCCAAGCTGAGCGGGAAATGCTTGTACCGGGTTTAAGCCACCCCCGCAACGTACGGCTCCTTCTCCTCAGGCTTCATCGGCTTCCCCGCAAACCTTAGCTTAGGCACCCAAGCTAGTGGCTCGATCTTGGGGTACATTAAGGGGCAAGAGAATATCACTCTCCCTTCTGAAAACCTGAGAGTCTTCCCGGGTTCTATTTCAGCATCTTTCCTTGTCAAGCAATATGAAGCTCTTTCCTGTCCGCAAAGATGAATCCTCCAATCCTACCCCTCGCGAAGTTTATAACTGGTGAATTTATGCGCTGGCAATGTCTGCCGCCATGGGTTCAGCCATGTTTGGTTATGATTCTGCGTTCATAGGTGGCACAATGTCCCTCCCTTCATTCAAGAACCGTTTCCACCTCAGTTCAACAAATCAAGCTGAGCTGGCGGCGTTGAAAGCGAACATTGTCAGTACGTTCCAGGCCGGCTGCTTCTTTGGAGTTATCTTATGCTACTTCGTCACAGAGAGAATCGGCAGGCGGTGGCCGCTGATGATCTGTGGTGCGATCTTCAACGTTGGTGCAGTCCTGCAGCTGGTTTCGGCGGGCAAGGTCGGATTGATCTATGGCGGGCGTGCTTTGACCGGTAAGCTGATCATTTGTTCAGTTGTATGCGCATTGCTGACGTTCCGAAGGGCTTGCTGTAGGAGCTTCCTCGATGATTGTTCCAGTGTATATTTCGGAATCCTGTCCACCTGCCATTCGCGGTCGTCTGATTGGAATCTTCGAGATCTTCCTACAATTCTTCCAAATTTTTGGATTTTGGGTCAAATACGGCGTCAAAATTCATATAGCGCCAACATCGGATGCGCAATGGCACATTCCATTCGCACTGCAGCTCATCCCAGGCTCATTGCTCGTCATATGCATGTTTTTCCAACCAGAATCACCTCGCTGGCTTTTGAACGCCAACCGTGTAGATGAAGCCAGAAAAGTGCTCCAGCGCCTTCAAGCGCTCCCAGAAGGCCACGAATATCTCACTTGCGAGGTCAACACCGTCCTTACTCAGATAGAGGAGCCTTCACAAGGAGCCAAGAAAGGGTTCGTGGCCAAGCTCCGCGAAATAGCGCTACCACAAAACCGCGTCCGACTGTTGCTTGGAATAGCTCTTATGTTCATTCAAAACATGTCTGGCATCAACGCACTGAATTACTTCTCGCCATCAATCTTTGGAGCAATTGGGTTCACAGGCACCAGTGTAGGCCTACTCGCGACGGGTATTTTCGGCATTGCCAAAGCAGGCGCAACAGCCATTTTCATAATTTGGGGAATAGATAAACTCGGTCGCCGTCTTTCTCCGCTCATCGGATCCTCTGGAGCTGCCATTACATTGTTCTATATTGGCAGCTATACACACATTTCCGGATCATTCGAACACGTTGCAACTGGTAGCGGTAAGACTCCAGCCGGATATGCCACAATTGCCATGATATACATCTTTTCGGTCTTCTATGCCATGTCCTGGAATAGTATCCCTTGGACCTTCTAGTATGTGTGACTCGTCCTTGAGATGACAGATATCAACATTGTTCAGTGCCGAGGTTTTTCCTATGGGCATCAGATCCGTGTCTTGTTTTCACAACCTGCGCCCAGTGGTTGGGTCAATTCATTATTGTGTATTCCACACCATACATGATGACGGATATCAAGTCTGGAACATATTTTCTATTTGGCTCCTCTGTCATCTTCGGGCTTGTCTTCTCATCGCTATTGGTTCCTGAGACCAAGGGATTTTCCCTAGAAGAGATGGACATTTTGTTCACTCGCAAAGGCCTGGCGTACACGTGGCGGAGGCAAGCCGAACAACATATCCGTGAGAATAGAGCCAGCGGTATACCTAGGGTCCTATCAGTTACGGGGAAGGATACAAAAGTTCGTATCGAGAAGGCATAACGTAGTTCACAAGCGAGTAGACCACCCAAGCAAGTAGACCACTTTGCACTAGCGCGTCAACGTTAAGACATTATCACAGACTTTTATTCTAGTTAACAAACTATTATAATATACTAGATAAATAATTATAACCTTTACTAGTACTTATACTGTTGATATTAACTACATAACTTAACTTTTTTTTCTCTATTTGCTATATAGCGTATTAGATCATGTATCTTTGAAAAGAATAGTAGGCTACACTCTAACCTACTAAAATTAGGTATTAAAAAATAACTATATAGTTGAAGTAAAAAATTAAGTAAGAATCTAAGAGAATTACGTCTATAAGATACTACTTTAAATCCCTAAAAATAGTTTAGTAATAATTCATAAACCTTAAAATAAGTATATAACTATAAAGTATAACTATATTATGGTTATAATAAAGTTAATGAAATAGCGAAGTATAATTATTATAGAATAATAAGATAATAAATTATAGTAATAATAAATATATATAGTGTATTAAAGCTCTCTAATACTTATAAACTTACTACATCTATCTATCTCTCTTATCTTATTACTACTACGTATTTATTTCAAGTTAATCTTTTATTTAAATAATATTAACTTTCTATTTATAGCTCTGATGTCTACTCTTCTTCTATCTTATTGTTAGCAGCTCAGCCCTGTGCCACTGTGCTGCAACAACCAAAAAGGTACGAGTAATCAGCGTTCTGCTAATGCTCTGCACAGGATAGTATATATAGTCAGCGCAGCGCCTAACATTATCCCCCCTCTTAATAGGGCCTAGCCCCTAGGCACTGCGGCTATAGAGCGCTCTCTAGAGATCTCCTATATACTAGACCTCCCAGCAGCTTACAGAATACTAGTCTCTAGCTATTCTTTAGTTCTCGACTAGCCTATGCTATAACTAGTCCTGGCTAGAATCGAACCCAGCATCTCCAGTCGCATCCGGCAGATCCGGC